ATTAACTTTACATCTAAAGATTTATGTATTCAATGAACTTTTTTACGTATCACACAACCAGTTTTATCACTGCTTGATATTGGCCTGAGGTAAAAATCAAAAAGCTTTTTTTCATATTTTACAATATAAGTATTCGCATATTGTGTTTAAATTCCCTCACAAAATATAGTTTCTTATAAATAAACAAACATATACGATTGCATTGTTTGATAATAATTTAGTTGAAAAGAGTCGCTTCACGGAAAACCTGCATTCTTAATAATTTTTTTTATATAGAATGAGATATTCAGCATTTGTATATATTGCGACAGTTTATCTCCTTTTACAAATAAAATCAAATTAAAAAACCAAAATAAAACTGGCGTTAACGGAAGAATCAAATGCGCATTAATAATGCTGGTAATAAGAGTTGCTCTTTGTTCACAGATTATCAGCTAACTTTATAATACCTTTTCGGAAATTTGTCTCTTCACGCAACAGTCTTACTAAATATTCTTATGGTTGAGACATAAGGAGAAAGTTGCAAATAATTTTTCGGGATAGCTATTTTCGATCAAAGTATCATATACAATGCTTAATTCATCTTCAATTACTTCTTCTGAGCATATAGCTCTAACTCTGTAGTCGAGTGAGGGTCTTCACTAAATTTCTTTTGTACTTGATAGGAACGAAGCTGTGAAAATGTGTGTATATTGTCCTGTCCAAGTACTTTTTCTATGCAAATTTCTTTTTATGCTACCATCTGGTTTTCTTGTAAGGAGGATATCCAGGAAGGCAATTCATTCTGTCTTGGGATTCCTCTTCGCATGTGAATTTCATAGCCGAATGTACTTCATTGAATTCAGTAATTATTGTACTCCTATCCGAATCATTATCACAAAGAATGAATGAATGAAGCACAGAGAAGAACTAAAAAAACTGATAAATGATGAGAGGCTGATAATCACAAAGCCTGATAAAGGATCAGGAGTAGTCCTCCTTGATAGAAGCGACTATATTAAAAAAATGAATGATATATTGAAGGACACACAGAAGTTTCAAAAACTTGAGGAGAAGAAAGATTTCAATAACAAAATAGAGAATGAATTAACCAGATGTTTGAAGAAACTAAGGGAGGAGCAGATAATTTCTGAAAGTTTATATGAAGAAATCAGAACAACGGGCACGTATACGCCAAGATTGTATGGCCTACCTAAAGTGCATAAACCGTGGTTACCGTTAAGACCAATACTTGATATGCGAAATTCGCCCTACCATGCTCTAGCTAGATGGTTAGTAAATATTCTCAAACCTTTGCATGAGAAGATAGTGAAATATAGCGTCAAAGATGTATTTGAATTCGTAGACAAAATCAAAGATATTAATATCAAGGACAAAACCATGATATCTCTGGACGTAACATCTTTATTCACAAATGTACCTCTAGTAGAAACAGTTAACTATATATGTGAACAAGTGGCATCCGTACTGAAATCCTAAAAGAATTGTTATTAAGGTGTACCATGAATGTAAACTTCAAATTTGACGGCACGCTTTACAGGCAAGTGGACGGGGTGGCGATGGGCTCCCTATTGCGTCCCATTTAGGCTGATTTCTTTCTAAGTAAGACATAGGATGATTTAAGCCAACTGTTTTTTTATAATCCTTTGCGTTCCCAGTATGGAACATAGGGCTTCAAGATAGAGCTTTGAAGTTTCTCTAGCAGTGGTTTTTATTTTTACGGGGTTGGGTTGCTAGTCTCATGCCAAACCTCCCCTCTTTACAGGGCTTATTACTATCTAAGTGAGGTTCGGGAGTGCGTCGGTCGGGGGTCGAACTCCGGACCACCTTAGTGGTTGGCAAGCATTCTACCTCTGCGCCACCGACACGATTTTAGCCAACTACTTACAAGAATTAAAATACCTACCAACAGAAATATCAGTTAATTTGGTCAAAAGTACACCATGAACCTTGCTTACAGCCTTTAAAGACCTACGTAATACGACATAGTCTTTTTTGAGAAGCTCACAGACGAATAGGGGTGGTGGGGGTAAATAATGAGGAATGAGTACGCCAAAAAGTCTCAGGTCTCTTATGTAATAAATCAAACGAAAGATTTTCCCTACAAATAAACAAGATATCAGACAAACGATAAAGATTAGAAGAGAAACTGACACCAAGATAGGCAATGCTTGACTTATTCCCACGACAGTATTGTCAGTATAACTAGAATTATGAGACTTAAGTAGGTATCTATCCCGTATGCATTCGGACAACAATTAAGAAGATCTGCATTTGCAGAATGGGACTCAGTGTCTAAAGCAGCAGACATTCAGTAAGAGGGTCAGTAGTTCGAACTCCGCTCCATCTGGGTGGGTGACTAGATATTACCATCAGAGGTCACATAATTATTTTGACTAATAGCCTTATGGTAAATAAATTATCATGTTCTTGGTAGCTGAATATAAACGTAAAGGAGTAAACCTGCTTAGCATGAGTAATTCCAATCAACAACAGTTGCATTTTGACACATTGTTAGCCAATAGTCCACAAAGACCGATTAATCAGCAATTTTGGACCTTGTTATTAAATGTGTGCAACACAAAACTAAGAACAATCACTTCACTACACTCCCGAAAGGATATATACGTCTTTTGTCAACTAACCGACTTAAATATTAGCATTTACACGAAACAGTGTCAATCGGAGCTGTTGCACTTCTAAATAAGAGATGAAACACGGAGACAGATACCTAATGACACTACAGTCGACAAACGCACATATGACCTATTGTGAAAAACTATGAAGCATGCGGTTGATTTTTGACATCCTTAGAACCTCAGTCAGCCAGGCTCCTATAACTGGCTCAGATCAAGAGTCGCATGTTTTTTCTAAGCACCCCTAAATTTTTTCACAACCTAGGCAACTTTTACCGATCACTTTTCGTCAGTATAAGTAGGAGCACACCATATGTAACATATTGTTGGTATTAGATGGTTGGAGGCAATCGGCCACAGGAAGCCTTACTTGACCTAGGTTTCGTGCTAGTTGGCACTCACCAGTCAGCAAGGCTTATCTGCAACCTCGGAGGAACTCATGTCCCTTCTGAGATTCGAACCCGCGTCACCCAGTGCTGCAGTCACAGACGTTTCCAACTAGGTCAAGTAAGGCTTCCTGTGGCCGATTGCCTCCAACCATCTAATACCAACAATTCACAGTGCACCGTGATGGCGAGCCACCTAGTGACATGGTGGCCACATTGTAAGCTTGACTGATAGAATTCAGTCTGCACCGAAGATAGGACTAGACACATCACACTAGTTACTGACTAGTGTCCAATCAAAAATATGTAACATATATCCTAACCACCTCAAGGGACTACAGATTGACACTCTACATCCAACCATATTTCTACTTAGTACATTACTTCTCATCAAACAGGTAACTAATTGAGGGCACCTATGAAACTTCAAGACTGATTAAGGCATAAAAGTCGAAATTTTTGGTTGTCGATGGAGTGTACGAAAATAAATCTTGAAAGCCTACCCATAAACAGTAAATGAAGTAAGGAATGAAGTACTACTTTCAGTACTATATAATAATTTAACACTACCGATACAAGGTGGTCTGTGGTTCATGACTACAATGCATGCCAGCCACACACATGGTGCCGAGTTCGACTCCCGGACGACATTCTCCTAAAAGCCCGCCTAGTTTAAATTAAGAGGTGAGAAAATAGACTACTTAGGTCAAGTTAAAAGGACATATTGAAGGTCAAAATAACAATGAAGATCACTAAACCAAATAAGAGAGAGGTAATAGTACATCTACCCTTGCTGGTATCAAAACAAAACAAAGTTTACCAAGGAAGGTTTAGTGTGATGACGAATTGTTTTTGAAGGCATAAGGTTAGTTTAAACTTCCTGATTTCTAGGGCTTACACAAACTTTAGGATACGCCCCAAACATGTTTTATAGATAGGTTTAAAAGACGTGTGTAAACATCAATTTTATGCCGTATCTCTATAGTCTGTTTCGCAATAGAGGAGCTAGGTCTCCCTTTCTCATCATTAATGATCATTGGGAATACGTTTCTTCTAACAGAAAGGCAGAGAAGGACCTCTCCTCTAGTTTCACTACTATGAAGAATTTGTTTTCAAGCTGCTTCCTGTATTTCTTATTGACTGATTATATTTTGAACCGAAATGTTCGGTTTCCGTTGACAGCATTTCATCTCCTAGTTGTATTGATGCCTCGACCATGTCTTAGTATTCAGATGATGTTGTTTTGATTGGAAGTAATTACCGGCAAAACCTAGGATCTCACAACTCTTGTGACCAAAATGATCTAGTGGGCAATGTTTTGGAGTTTAAAATGATGGGTACTGGATTAGACTCGCATTAGGAACACCATCCATCAGTCACTGGAGATTGTAAGTACATCCAGCTGACGAATCCTAAATAGGAGGGAATGAGCATCCTCGATTCCGCTACTAGTCACCATCGACGAAAGTTAAGACGAACACATTATATATATACATGTAATCGGAGATCTGAAGCATCGATAGAGCCATTACCAACAGGCTACCGCAGACTCTTAGCGTTGGCTGCCATCTCTGCCTCTATATTGAAGGTCAGATAATCAATCAGAAGGGATTAGCACCAAGTATCTCTGATAACGATGATGCCGAGAACTTATTGCCCAAAAATATGCCAGAGAAAATGGAGATGAATAGGACACACTCTGAGGAGACCGTTGACTGACACTGCGCGCCACGCCCACGAATGAAACCCGATTGGGAAATCAGTGACCAGTTGGGTATGTGTCGAAGGGTGAAATGGAGGACATTATTTGACAAGGAGAGGAGAGCTTATAGGCAACTGTGAAATCAACTGGAAAGGACCACAGAGAACAGGATGAGGTGGAAATATGCTACTCGGAACCTAAGGGAATAATGATATATATATTTAAGAATAAAGCATTTCACATTAATAATCATTCACAGTACTCAATTCAACTTACTCAAAAGCTTGAATTATAATATTCCCCATTTAATTGTAAGTTATCCATCCACTTTTGAAAAAATGTCAAATATGAAATAACACTTTATATTTATTGTTTTTTCACACTAATAGTAATTAATATTCTGAGTGATATTCACCATAAAATAAATAATAATAGTTATTATTATGAACCACAAACACAGTAATCAGTTTTCTAATTGAAAATATTAATCATTGTAAAAATTTCAATTATGCTAACACCTCAAAGCAAAAATTAACCAATCAGAATAGACTAATGTTAAGTGAACTTTGAAATTTGATTGGTTAATTAAAATGGTTTATTAGGATTTCATTATTTAAATTAACAATGCAATAGAGATATGCGGAGGTGTATTTATTACAAGGTTGATCATAATTTTGTTTTGTGATTTTTGTTTATTTATTTTTTGTTTGTTTGTTTGTTTATAGTTTTCGGTAATGTCAATGCCTATTTCATTCTAGTAGGATAAGAAGACGGTAATAAATCAAATTGCGATTTGAAAATTAATCCGCTACTTTTAATTGACACAGTTCGAGGGGTGGAATTTTCACCAAAGTTTCCTTAGAAAACAGAAATTATTCAGATCGCAGTTTATATGATCTGCTTGATACAATAAAAATAGTGATCAGGAAAGCAAATGTAATTGCATCATTTTCACTTAGTTTTGTTCTCACAGCTGGTTGATTTCGCTGAGAAGCATCCGTTGTCCCCCACCTAGACAATATCTTCAGTGAAGGTTTCACTATGAAATGAACTTATTCGAATTCTCCATGAATGGTGATTTAATTGTATCTCATCCTGACAACCATTACCATGATTGATTGGCAGTTTATCTCTCTGCTGCTCATTTGTATTGACTGACTTGGAATTTGAACTTTCTTGTCGTGTGATTTTTGTTTTATTAGTAGGTAAATCTGATCTAAAGTAATGTGTTTGTTAACCTCTGATGTTCGTCTGAGTACCAGGATTCTAGAAATTCTCTGACACTACTTTTGGTGTTTCCTCTACTTAAAATTTCCGCATTCTCCAAATCAGATTGGTGTCCGTAATTATCTGCATGCATTAGTGCCCTTGGATTTAGACTCGTAGGGGACTCCCACTTTAACCGATGTTGTGTTTATCACAGTTGATGCAATTTGTTTTGTAAATGGTGTTGGTCTTATCTTCCTTTGCTGCTGGATATTTTAGTCTGATTGTGTTGCCTTGTGTGCTATGTCTGTTTCAAATGGTCTTAATGTTTCAGGCAGTATAACAGAGATACTCTTTATATATATACGGGGTGGCCTGCTTAAATCACTGGGCTACTAGTATTGCTTTCCACGAAAATTCTTGATTTCATCTGGATTTATCATTGTTTTAGTCGTCCAGTTATATCAAATGACCTATACATGAATTTGCGCGCTGATTTAACTTGCCTCCAAGTGAACGCTGTGCAATTCTTGAACGAAATGAAGAAATACTTCAGATTATTAATTTACATGTAAATCTTATATGAAGAAAAACGTATTTTGGAAATAAATACGCTGAAAATTTTTGTACCATACGTTCGCATATTGTCTGAAATAAGGCTTTATTATTATTATATGGTAGAGTGAATTGTCTTGTGGTCTCTGATGGTGGTTTCTTGTTGTTGTTATTATGACTAGAGTTTAAACACTTTTGTATCAAATTGTGTGGGTATTCGTTCTTTTTGAAGGGTGTTAGTAGGTATTTCGTTTCCATTCTCTTCAGCACCTGAGTGCTACAGTGTGTTTGAGCTCTATTAAACAGTTTAATTCAATTTAGATTTTCCAGTCGACTGACTGGACAGAAGTGCTCGGTTTCAAGTTGACCTGCCGGCTTTTTGTACAGATGGATCGATGATGTCTGGTCATGTAACTTGAAGTAAATTGGAGGATGGTGACTAGCAGTGGAAACCAAGATGCGCAATTTGTCCTACTTTTGACTTGTCATCTGGATGTGCCTGCATTCCCCAGTGAGTCAGTGATGGTATTCCCACCGAGGCTTTAACCCAGTGCCCGTAGTTTCAAACGTAATTGCGTTATTCACTAGACCACTAGGGCCACGAGAGCCACCTCTTGTGTGACAAGTCTTACTAATTATTTAATTCAGTTTAGATTTCCCCATCGATTTATTGGACTGAAGTGATCGGTCTCAGGTGACCCAAGTGATCTAATGGATAGTGAATTTGGCTTTGGAAACTACGTGCACTGGGTTCGAGTCTCAGTGGGGATACCATCACTAACTCACTGGAGAATGCAGGTACACCCAGTGATGAGTCCCAAATAGGACGAAATGTGTGTCTTTTAAACAATGTCTGCACACAGTTTCTATAGTGAAACACTGGATTATTGCTATCATAACTGAGCATTTCATGTGTGTGCGTTGATTTTCATTATACTTGTATTTCCATATTTCCTTGATTAAGACATCTTAAGATGGAATTTTTTGTCTAATTCTTCTTCCGTGAATTTGTTGTCTTCAGTTATGTTGTTTATTAATTTATGGGTATATTCCAAATTATTCCTTTTACTTAATACAAATGTATCATCAATATAACATACCAAGATTTTGGGTTTTATTATGAATAGGGCTATTAATTCTAATCTTTGCATAACAGCTTCAGCAGTTAATCCAGATATGGGCGATCTCATCGGTGTACCTTTTATCTCTTAGTAGATTTGATTAACTTGATTAAGATTTCTAGAATCCTGGTACTGAGATGAATATCAGAACAAGGCATTTAGAAGACAAATTTCGTGAGATGATATCTTCATTTCGTAGTTTTTTCAACGACCGCTTTACAACTAAAATGGTTAACAGTAATAAAATAAAGATCATGACAATTACTCAGTTATATAAAAAAATCATTATATAACTGAGTAACTGTAATGCATTTTATTTTATTATTATTGTTAACCATGTTAGTTGTAAAGCGGTCGTTGAAAAAACTACGAAATGAAGATATCATCTCACGAAATTTGTCGTCTAAATGCCTTATTCAAATTTATCTAAGGGACTAATTATTTTAACATTACTTTAGGTCAGATTTACCTACTAATGAAACAAAAATCACACGACAAGAAAGTTCAAATTCCAAGTCAGTCAATACAAATGAGCAGCAGAGAGATAAACTACCAATCAATCATGGTAATGGTTGTCAGGATGAGATACAATTAAATCACCATTCATGGAGAATTCGAATAAGTTCATTTCATAGTAAAACCTGCACTGAAGATATTGTCTAGGTGGGGGACAACGGATGCTTCTCATTGAAATCAACCAGTTCAGAGAACACAGACAAATCAAAATCATTAACCTAAACTACAAATCTTCTCCATTATTTCAAAACTGTATTATAATATATACCATTGATTGATTAAGTGATATAAGCATGATGGAAACCATTCATGTCAATCAGTCCGCCCAAACGGTTAGCCAGAATTCGGCTCTTCGATCTGAATCAATCCTCTTTAACTAGTGATGAGTTCGACCCCAGATGAGTGTAACAGTGAATATTTCCAATCAGATTTCGGTAAAGGCACAGTGGCATTTTCACCAGTATGTAATATTCATTCATTGCTCATATGATCACTCTCGAAAGCCTAATTCGTCATTCGCTTCCCATTCTGATCGCACTGAAGGACCTGACACGTGATACCACACCTAACGATCTCCTCAGTGGTTAAAATTTCAGTCTTCCATTCAGGCGGCTCAGTTTGAACTCCCGAAGTGGGAGCTAAGACTCGCCTAGTTCACTAGCTAGTCTTAAACCCGAAAGAAGCAGGATAAGTTGGGCGTTGAGATGCAGTATTATTCTCCAAATGTAGAGCTCATTGACCTCGGTGAGAGCGAAAGAAGGGACATTAGCCGCTTCAAAGTTACAGATGCGCATTACCAATGAGGTGGAGGAAGCACCGTCTTCTACCGACCGCTTCTAACCATCTAACATGAATTCAAAAAGTTCACCGTCATGAAAAGTCTCATAGACTGGCGGTTGGTAGAATTCGATCAGCATCAAGACTCAGAACTGTGCACACTATATACTGGTTCTTGGTACTCTAGTAACCAGTAAATATGCAGTCATAATATTTTCAACGATAGCTACTCTCATTTGTTTCATTCAGCAACCAGTCTGACAAATGAAACATGCTAAAGCAAACTAAACTTTTGATGAAACTGTTTAAGATAACCTTAGACTGAAAGAATACTGATATAGTGAGGTGATGATTGAAAAAGATATAAGGAAATCCAAGTCGTGGCTGAAATCGAACCGGTAGTACACTTCGGATTTCCACAGTAATGCTGACAAACCACAATGTTAAACTAAATCATATTTTCTCAGGGATAACCAAGAGTTCGCCAAGTTATCACGTTTATGATAAATGTTGTATGCCAGGCATTTATATGAATGGCTGTTAGGTGAGTTCCTTGTTGATCACAATGAGAATGTAGCTTTGTAGAAATGACTGCATTAAGACATGAATTTCCTCAGAATGCATATATATATATGTATAGTCCAAGCGCTATTTGAAATCTTCTGAATATCTTAACACACAAGACTACTAAGCATAGTTTCATAACATGGATCACAATGTACGTGATCTGCTTGGTACCATAAGTGGCAGTCAAGAGGGCAGGCATAATTACATATGATGCTATATACTACTGACTGAATAGTACAAGTAGTTTGATATCACTTCAACTAACCTGTAGTGCTTGCTAACCAGACAGACGGAAGTGATCCGGAAAAACCAGACGGTCTTTTCTATCATTTGAAGCTAAGCTTACCAACGATATACTTGGTTTGACTAAGATCAGGAAGTCGAGGGAGCTGTGGTGTAAATTTCAAAATTGATTTCATGTGTTCCCAGATCCCCAAAGTTGTGTATGAAATGATTCGGCACTCTGAGCTGAGTTAAATGGGGCACCGAGCGAGCCATCACTTCGATGTGGCTAGCAAGCGCCATACTTGTTGATGTGAGTGGTAGTCAACTACTCATATTAGTCAATCAGTAATATATAGCGTCATGCATAAATATGAGGGGATTAGCGATAAGTGTAATTGCATATTACAAGTTGAACATATTTTCAAGCAGCCTGTGCCGCCTCACTTGTGGTGAGTAGAATACTCACCAGCCTAGATAGCAATATACTTAACCCAAATGAAACGTAT